AATAGAGGTGCAGGACATTTCATTTCATGAGTGAAAAAACTTCCTTTCAGAAAACGTGGGTTTGTGTATTTCAAGATTGTCCCTTTTCACTAATTTTTTTCATTTTTTTTCCTGGTGAGAGAATCAAAGTGGAAACATGCGGTTCAATCATGAACATAAGAACGACCAAACTGGGTCAGACCAAAGGTGCGTCCAGCCCAGCGTCCTGTCTGCCCACAGTGGCCAGTGCCAGGTGCCCCAGAGGGAGGGAACACAAGAGGGAATCATCACATGATTCCTTCCCTGTCCCCCATTTCCAGACAAACAGAGGCTAGGGAACCATTCCTACCCACCCTGGCTAATAGCCGTTCATGGACCTAACCTTCACACATTTATCTAGTTCTTTTCTGAACCCTGTTAAAAGTCCTCGTCTTCACAACATCCTCTGGCAAGGAGTTCCGCAGGTTGACTGTGCGCTGCATGAAGAAAAACTTCCTTTTGTTTGTTTTAAGTCTGCTGTCTATTAATTTCATTTGGTGACCCCTAGCTCTTTTTGTTTCATTTTGATCAACAATGTCAACTTTCTTTTCAACATTCCCGGCTCGGAGGTTTTCTGAATGTTTTCTTTGGTGACTGTTTTGTGTTGCTTGTTGTTTCCTTCTGATTTTGAATGGGAAGGGATATTCAGGGCCAACATTGCCCACAAACAGGAATGGCAACACCTTGGAGGATTTAGACCCAAGCAAAAGGCAAAAAGGCATCTGGCCTGCACTGACTGAGATGGTGTCATATTTTTCCCTCATCCCACCAGCAATATCGAGGTCAGAGCTGGCTCAGGGTTTAATTCATGATTGTCTCTGAAACCACTGAGCAAATTAAACAGCCCTGAGTGTCTACTTGCTGACACAGTAGCCCAAACAATGGGCTTGTCTTCACTGCTATGTAAATAGATGCTGTGGTGATTGATCTTCTGGCATTCAATTCAGCAGGTCTAGTAAAGACCCACTAAATCAAATGCTGAGGGTGCTCCAGTCGACCACAGTACTCCTCTCAGTCACAGTCGTGAGGAGTAAGGGAAGACAATGGAAGCATTTCTCCCATTGACCTCCTGCGGTGGGGTCGCCTCAGAAAAATCGATGTAAGATGTGTCGACTCCAGTGACAATTCTCGTAGCTGGAATTGCGTATCTTAAACCTATTTTCTCCGCCAGTGTAGACCTGGCCTTAGTCACTACCCCCGCTAGGAGTCACAAACAGCAGCTGGCTACAAGGGGATGCTGGACATTACTCTACATGGGGGAGCTCTCAGAGCCCAGGAATAACCTCTCCCCGTTGACCTCCGAATTGCTCCTACGCAGCCCTGTCCAACCCCGCCTGGGACTGCGAACGTCAGCGCCAGCCACAGCAGCTCGATGCTCTACCAAGCAGGGATCTGCTCTGTCTCCATCACCAAGGACCAGCAGCGGCCAGGGAGCGCTGTGCAGCCTGAGCCCACGCCGGCCTCAGCCCAGCTCACTGGGCCAGGACAGCTGAGGGGCGTGGCTCGTGGGCACAAGGGGGGGGGCGGGTAGCCAGGCTGCCCACAGCAAGTGCAGGCTTCGGGGACGTCGCGTTCAAAAGCCCTGGGTTTCATGCACGTCCGCAGGGAGACGCCTCCGGTGCCACGGATATGTGGCCACTCCTAGGGGGAAAGAGCTGAGCATGGAAGTCCGTTTGTTTCCCTTCCTGACAGCTGGTTGCATCTCGGGCCATGTGGCTGGGCTGCTGGCAGCGGGGCTCAGCAGCCGGGGGGGGGGGGGGGCGGAGACATTTCTGGGGGAAATAAATCCAGAGGAGATGGACGAGCTCCGGAGCGGGGGCCAAGACAGGCCGGGGCTCGCTGGCATCTGCGGGAGAACACGCTGGGCCTGGCTGGGTACAGAGTGCGAATGAGGCTCCTGCCGCCCAGCCGGGTGCCCGGGGGAAAGTTTCCCCCCCGTCTTCGCTGTGCTCAGCTGCACAGACGGGAGCGGGAGGCAGGTGGGACCCAGAAATGAGGGTGTGGAAGGCTGTAGAGTAACCCCCCCGCTCTGCCCCTCCGGGGGGACACCGAGCTGCAGGGTCTCCCTTTCGGGGGGGAGTTGGGAGATGAACGATTCAAAGGGGCAGAGGGCTCCCCCCTCAAGCCCCACAGTGCTAGGGGATCGGCCCCCACTTTGGCCACCCCTCAGCTCTGGCCGGGAGAGGGGTCCCACCGGGTGCAGGCGCTCCTTTGAAGTGCCTGCAGTCTCCTTGCACATTCCCCCCGAGGATAGATCCGGGGGCCAGGCACATGCCCCTCTCCCCCCACCCCCATCATGCCCCAGCCACTCGGGGATCCCCCAGCTCTTCAGAAGAGGAATCGATGCAGAGCCAGCTGGAGCATCTGGGTGCAAGGGCCCGAGGGCCTGTTTGCCACGGGGCCCCCACCCTACCCCAGAGCTGCCCCCCCCCCAGGGTTACTGACTAAGTCCAGCATTCTAAATCTCAGCTCCCTTGGTACCCAAAGGGATGCGGGGAATGGAACAGCTTCCATGAGAGGGGCAATCAGGAAGCCTGGCACTTCTCAGGGAGGGGGAGGGGGATGTCCAATCAAGGTCTGTAAAGCCATCCCTGGTGCAGAAAAAGTGAAAATGGGATTTATTGCCTCACACAACACAGGCCCCAGGGTCATCCGGTGTAATTCACAGGCAGCAGGATTAAAGGAAACCAAAGAACGTTCTTCTTTGCACAAAGCGCAGCCAATCTGCGGAACTCCTTGCCAGGGGATGTTGTGAAGGCTAAAACAATAACTAGATATTTTTAAAAAAGAGATAGGAGGCTAGGTCTAGTGTTGGCTTTCAGCCAAAATGCCAACGGATACATGCTCTGGGATGACAGGGCACAGATCACTCGCTAATTGCCGGTTCGTTCCCTCTGGCGCACCTGGCATTGGTCACTGTGGGAAGACGCGCTAGATGGACCTTTGGTCCGACCCAGTCTGGCTGCGCTTATGTTCTTACTCTCTATTGCCACTGCAAAACAAAGAGCGCGATTAGTCTGCAGAGGGAATTACTGTCTCTTCTCTCCGTTCGGCCCCCTGCGGCACGTACCCAGCTGCTTGGTTGGCAGCATCTTGGGTGCGGCAGAGGGCAGAGGCTGGCCCTCTTTGCGTAGCAATTGCCCTCCCCTCTCAGACAAGTCCCACGCCCTCCGGATCGCCGGACAGAGCTGGGAACCCTCCCCCAGAGGGAGGACCAGCGAACCCCAGGCTGTGCTCCTGATCTGCTGCAGGGGGAGTGTCCACATCGCTGCTGCTGAGTCACACGGGCGGGCTTGCAGACAGCTCCAGATCCCAGTCTGGAATGCAGGGCACAGATCGTTTCTCCGTCCAAACGGCTGGGAGGGCTGGGCCCCTGCACGCAGGCCGCGAGCCTGCCCAAAGAATGTGCAGCTCGTAAACGGCGCCAGAGTGGCCAGGCGGACGCATGCCTGAGACAGCGGGGGCAGGCGCGGCGCCCGTGCAAACCTCTCGGGTGTAACTGGGGATTCATTCAGGGCTTGGCCTCTCCAGGCAGAGCAAGAGGGGTGCCAAATCCGGCCCCTCGCTGCCGAGTTCAGAAGGCACACGTCCGCGCTCCAGGCTCCGTGTCGTACCGACTCCCTGCGCCTGTCCCTCTACATACCAGGCACTTATCCTATCGGGCGGGCTGGTGCTGTGTTAGCTCCACTCTGGGTGTCTGTCAGCATTAAGCAATGAACCGCCGGCTGCCCCCGAACCCGCCAGCACCTGGCTCATTCTCCGAGCTGGTCACGCAGAGCGCGTCCCAGGGCCGTGTCCGGTTCTGGATGGGTCAGTGTCACAGACGCGGAGGCCTAGACCAGCGGCCGGGCAGCCCCGCTGGCTGCTCTGCCTGATTTTGAGGGACCTGAGGTGGAAAACTCTGCGTGGAATCAGGAAAATAAATTAGGAACGTGGGTCTCTCGCCTCTCAGCCTGGGAACCCAACCATCGGGCTGTAGAGCAGCGAGGGGAAACCTCAGCTAGGAAGTGGGCCGCGTGATGGGCCTCCGCCTCTATAGGGCACAAGACTGTTCTCACCGAGCCGCTCTCCTGGGACAGGGCAGTGTTGCTCAGTGGGCATGGGTGCCTAGGGAGTGCAGGCTGTGCCGCGTGACCCATCACTGCTCTGTGATTGGCTGCAGAGGGAGCGCCTGGCTCTCCCAGTCGCTGTTGGGCACAATCAGCCACCACCTCCCTTCACAGGCCCTGGCGTCACGTGCGTGTCACTTTATAACTCCGGGAGGAAAAACACCACCCGGACCGAAACCAGTGGAATCTGGCAACCCTAATGGGAAACAAAACGTCTCGTGGGCTGCACGTAGAACCCCGATGGGCTTGCCCACCGCTTCCTGAATCAAGACGACCAGGTTCCCCTCCCAAAACAGATATCTCAGCAGTTCACAAGGCCAGTCTTTGCTAACCATGTGGCCTAGGGAGAGGGCTTTCCCAACGCATGGACCACCTCACCTCTTAATCAAATATTTTCACTAATTAGGGTGCGTCTACACTGCATGGCTATTTCGGGATACTGGAAGTATCCCGAAATAGCAACCCCACGTCTTAACAACCCTCCCGGTATTTCGAAATATTTTTCAAAATAACAGGCACACTGTTCTGGCATCCTGGTAACCCTCATTCCACGAGGGTTAAGGGATGTCTCGAAATAGCCTGGTATTTTGAAATTTGCTGCTGGGGAGACACACCAAATTTCAAAATAAGCTATTTCGAAATAGAATTGAAATAAGATACACAATTTGTGTAGTGCAAACTGCATATCTTATTGTGAGTTTAGGGTGCTGTGTAGATGCACTTTAGTGAAATACAGACCAACAACTTGTCTGGCAAGCAGGTACAGGAGAGGAGTATCTGCATTTTATTCATTTATAGCACGTGGGGCAGCTTTTTGTCATGCCAAACTACTTCTTTTAAGAGGGTATTAGAATGAGGAGATGTGACATTCAGTATATACACACTTTTTTCTTTATTGTACAATCTTTTATAAGTGTTATTGTTGGTCACCCTATCTTATGTCGTATTAGACAGTATTCACATACTCCCAGCTACGTACTGTCTCATATTTAAAAAGGTCTCGTATAGCTTTATTTTACATCTATTATACTGCAAGTAAAAATTCTACATTCACCGCTCTTTGCCAAAAGGTGGGTAAAGAGAATGACCAAGTACATTCAAATAAATTCTCTTTGAACATTTTGTGCTAGATAATATAGAAAACAGGGGAGGAAGAGAGAACATTAAAAGCATCCAGATGCCCCTCCACCCCCCCTCCCCCCAAAAAAATCTGTTTGCTACCTACAGTGTGGGCTTACAGTTCAATCTCTCTTTCTCACCGTCCCTTGGGGTCTCGGCGTCTTTAGGGTAACTCCCTTTTCTTGAGGAAGAGCTTTGCCGGGTGCTGTTAAACTGATAGACTCGCAGCTTAAACAGATGCCGGAGCTTCTCCTGGAACTGGTGCCCAATGAAACAGTACAGCAAGGGGTTGATGCAGCTGTTTGCAAACCCCATGCAGATGCCGAACGGCAGGGTGGTGTCGATGAGGGTTGTAATGTCACAGTTATTAATGAGGCGCATCCGCACCAGGGCATCCATAAAGGTTAAAACGTGGAACGGAAGCCAGCAGATTAAGAAGGCCACGACCACTGCCACCACCAGTCTCAAGACTTTGTCTCTTTTTGGTTTGTTTTTCCGAAATTCCCGTGCTTTCAGTAGGTGCATCCAGATGCACATGTAGCACGTGGCTATGACAGTTAAAGGAATCAGAAAGCCAAGTGCATTTTTCATGAAGGCTGTGCCGGCAGACCAGTTGGCATACTTCTCATAGGGAAAAGCCATAATGCAGGCGTTCACCCCCAGGCTTTCGATGAAGTAGGTGTCCCGGAAATAAAAGGTTGGCAGAGAAGACAAACAAGCGAGGCCCCAAACAAGGAATGTGATCAGAGAAGCTTGCTGTAGCGTCCTTCTCTGAAATCGAATCGGATGGACGATAGCCCGGTACCGGTCCAGGCTCATGCAGGTGATGAAAAATATACTTGCGAACATGTTGAGACACAGGACGGAGCTTGAAATTTTGCACATGACGGAGCCAAAAATCCAGTTGTAGCCGTAGGCGTAATAGGCTGCCCACAGAGGGAGCGTAGCGAGGCACAGCAAATCAGCCACGGCCAGGTTGAAAATGTAAATATTCGCAACTGTCTTGGGGCCGTGATGGCGACAAAGCACCGCCACCACCACACTGTTGCCAGCAAGCCCGAGGATAAAGATCACACAATAGAGCACTGGAATGAGTGTGAATTGATAATCAGAATACAGAAGCGGGCAGGGAGACGGAGACATCTGGTCGGATGATCCATTCGGAGGCGAGGAACGTGCATCTTGAAGAGTTTCTTCGGTGATGCTGAGCCCAGAGTAGTTACTGTACATATTGGGTATTGGCATGGAGGAATTCACCGCTGGAAATGCCTGTGTAGAGTCACCTTTACCATCATACTGTTCCCCTGCAGATCATAAAACAAGCATTAGAGCCACACATATTTTTGTGGGCGGGAGGGTCATCCCTGTAAACTCTTATCATTTGCTATATTTTAACGAAAAGGGCTAGAGTCAATTTGGTTTCATTTTCATCTAGTTTTCAAACCTTAGGCTTGATTTTGCAGTGTCAAAACAGAGCACTGCTCCGAATGTCTCCATTTTATCTCTTTTGTCTAAGATATATTGAGAAGCAACCCGATTGCAGGCTCATCCTATTTTTCTGGCTCAGTCTCTTTCAACATTCGCTCGGTTATGTCAGTTTTGAGGACTGTGCTTGCTTCGGGGACTCTGTCTCTTTTGTGTTTGGTTTTCTGAGAAACAACCCCATTCCAGACACAGCTCATTTTCTTGGCACAACCAAACCCTGACGTTGCTTTAAGTTACAATAAGAGGAAGCTGTATACCAAATTTGGTGGGTTTAGCTCTATCGTTTAGGAGAAGTTCTTGATCAAACAGACAGACAGACAGACAAACGCTCTAAAATATATAGTAGATTTAATTAACAAAGAGTGAATGGTAGCTTAAAAAGTCTCAATGTTTTCCATCATTCTAACAACTTCAGGCAATTCTTTTAAGGCACGGCCATGCATTGTTTGCACAAAATATTCGAATACAGTAAACAATACACTGCCTAGAAAAATCTGGTAAAACAAACTTAGCAGTTATGTTAACGTAATAAGAATTAAACAGGCAGGACACAAATGTAAACTCACACACTAGCGATTCTCTACTTAAAATCACACACTGAATCTTAAAACTCAGTTTACTGTTAATTAAACACAGTTCCTCCGTCGTGGTGAGGGAGTTGGCTTGGTTGTTGCTTTTATGATTGACTAAATAATCTTTTACTCATGCTTACTCTGTCTTGAAACCCTTCTATGATCCACTGACGGGCTGGAAATACAGCCATGAAGTCTTATCTGTTTGATTTACTCTCCTTAGAAGGACGGTTTTATGTTTACTTTTAGATAAATCACTGTGGATTAGCACCAGCTGTTCACGCATGCACAACTGTCCGAACTTAAAATGAAAATAAAACATCTGAAAGTACGGATTTATTTTTTGTAAGGCATCGTACTTATTTTCATTATGCTTCCATTTAAAGCACCCTGGCACATTTCACCCTACAAGGTAACGCAATGTATTTTTAATAATAGTTTCCACACAAATAAAACAACAAGCAACTTCTGCTTACCTGGAAAATATCAGAATTCAAGCTGGAGAGGGATATAGAATAACGTGGTTCCCCTATCCCACTTTCCTTCTAGCAGGAGACTTCTCCAGCTCTCTGCTTTCCTTCTTATACGTTCTGTTGTCTCCCCCAGAAGACTTTAACCTACATAACACTCCAGGATTGCAACACACACACTTGCCAGGGTTTTGTTTGGTTGCTTTTTTTTTTTGGCAGCAGTACTGATTGAGAACCCCCCATCCAAGATCACATGAGTACGAACAATAAATCAGACGAAGAGACAAACAAGAACACAATGAAATCTGCATAAACATATTGCGCTGTTTTGCTAATGTAGAGTGTGGGTTAGTTAAACGGAGAAACGCACACACACACACACACGCACACGCACACGCACACGGTACTTAATGGTGTTCAGGGGGAACATCCCACTTTCTCGAAAGATTTCTCAGTCTTGGACAACACACAGAATCATAGAACCACAGAGCTGGAAAAAACCTCAGGAGTCATCGAGTCCAGCCCCCTGCCTAAGGCAGGACCAACCCAACTCAATCAACCCAGCCAGGGCTTTGTCAAACTGAGACTTAAACACCTCTAGGGATGGAGATTCCACCCCTCCCTAGGGAACCCATTCCAGTGCTTCACCACCCTCCTAGGGAAATCATTTTTCCTAATATCCAAGCTAGACCTCCTCCACTGTTGAGACCATTGCTCCTTGTTCTGCATCCGTCACTACCAGGGCTGGCCCGTGAGCCTAGGCAAACAAGGCAGTTGCCTAGAGCGCCGCTGGCCTGGGCGCCCGATGATGACGTCATGGGGTGCCGGGGCACCCCATGATGATGTCACGGCCATTGACTACCATGCAGGTGGGGGCGCCGATAATGGACCCTCTCCAATGCTTCCGCATCCTTTTTGTAGTGGGGGGCCCAGAACTGGACACAATACTCCAGATGTGGCCTCATCAAAGCCGAATAAAAGGGAATAATCACTTCTCTGGATCTGCTGGCAATGCTCCTCCTAACGCAACTTAATATGCCATTAGCCTTCTTGGCTACCAGGGCACCCTGTTGACTCATCTCCAGCTTCTCACCCACTGAAAAAGAGAGCAATAGATAGTAGAAAATCAAGTAAGGGAGTAAAATGTGCAGATGGTCACACCGACTGTAGGAAGCAGCAGGGGAAACTCCCAGGAGAGCTCGCATTGGGGAAATGAAGGAAAAACTCAGAGATTGTTGCCGACTTTTAATGGACACACATGACCCCAGGGTCATCAAACAGGTACATGGATGATGCACAAGCACGGAGGCTTGCAGCAGAGCAAATCCCAGAGGAGAGGAGAGAATCAGGCTTTGAGATAAGGCAGCAGATCTCCAAACACCACGGCCTTCACGGAGCCGCTGAGAACGCCAAGCCCTCTGCTACGCCACAGCAGGGCTGTGGGGCTGGGTGGCTGTTCAGCAGAAAGGGGGGAGGGCGTCTCTCTCTGGCTCAGTGAGGGCGCTGGATGGGACAGAGAAGAGCCAGGGGTGTGTCCCTGCTCTGCCTAATTCAGAGCCAGATCAGGGACTCGACCTGCCCCCAGGATGGGCACAGCCGCCTCCCTCTTCCCAAGCCACCAGGGGACATGGACACTGACAATGTGGTTCAGCTCCGGCGTGGCTCACACGCAAACGGCAGCCCCCACCATTGCCACGACGCCGAGCTGCCCCCAGCGGTGAGCTCTGACCCTCTCCCTGCGGCTCACAGGCCGGCACAGCTCCCGGGCCCCAGCCTCGGGCCGTGGCACTACAGCTGCTGAGCTCTCCCCTGTGGGGAAGCTAGGCCGGGGGCAGAGGCCAGGCAGGAGCCACCTCCCAGCCCTCCTTCGCCAACAGGGCCTGGACCCCAGGTAGGGCTGCAGGTGTCTGGTTTTCTACCGCACAGTCCAGTTTTGGGGCCTTCTGTCCGGTAAAAAAAATCCAGAAAATACCGGACACGTGCAATGTCTGGTATTTCCTGGTTTTCCTGACAGAAGCCTGGCGGGGGCGGGGGC